GCAACAAATTGGCTCGTGGGGAATTAGGTAAAGAAAAATATAAAATCGAGCACAATCGATTCTGTTTTCAGTCAGAAAAGTTAAATTTAATGTAGATATACTATATTGGTAGAGAAAAGGTTCCCATACCAACTCCAACACTTATTTATATTTTATTATAAAAATATATTTAATACATTGATAGTATATATAACTTTTATGCACTATTAGATTATTAAATTTTGATATCCTATTAATGAGTTATTACTTTGAAAGAAATAAAAGATTGATATTAAATCTCATGCTGTTTTAAAACTTCAACAACTTTTTATATCTTTCAAAATAATACTCATTAGTGAGGTGTTAGGATTTTGTGACTTAATTGTACGCGGTCAATAAATTAAATATTAAATTTTTATTATTTATTTTATGTTTTTTACTTATTATTATTTTTTTAAAAAAAAATAAAAAAAAATAAAATAAAGTTTAAACTCTCATCACCCTTAGGATATATTAGGCAAAAAAAATTAAATACCACCATACTAGAAACAAAAAAAAGAAGAATATTTCAAGTTTGATGTATTTTGACAAGGACTTAAACTTTTGCCAAGTTAGTTTTGAAATAATGATAAAACACATTAAGTTCAAATAATTGAGTTGACCACGAAAATTAATACGGAAAGAAGTCATAAGCATATGTTGTTTAAGTGCTAGTGTGTATGCTTAATTAGTTCATCTTGATTTCCCTATTTAGCCAAAAAAAATGATTCCCTGTGAAAGGTTAAAATTGTCACAGCAACACCTTTGCATTTATGAATTAATTAAGTTTAACAATTTTTATAAAACAAAAAATATTAATTGATACATTCATTTCATATTCAAATATTTAGTTTAATAATAGATATATGTATTTTTAAAAACAATTTGAATTTACATTTTCTTTCTTTTGAATTAAAAAAAGACTAATAAGAATACACTCATTCCATATGAATTAATTACAGTGTTTGAAGAATTTGGGAACAAAAAGTGTCATAATTTGCCATCGGAGAAATGAAATAACAATACTATACACAGTTAGAAAAGAAAAGAAATACTTTTAAAGCGACAAGTGGGCTCCTAACGGTGGGCCACGTGGGGTGAAACTTTTGAGAGTTGAGAGCCATGCGCAAGCAAAGAATAATTGTGTAGAAAATAAACATAGGGAATCCTGACCGTTCCATACCGAACCTGTAGAAAAAGTTGGACCCCAAACTGGGTCAGCCGACTGAGCGGATCCGCCGGTATTGGAGACCCACAAACAAACACGCGGCTATTTTGTAGCCATTATGAAATTTGGGCGGCCCTACCGCCCGTGCCAAAAGTGGACCTACCACCCAATCAAATGCCACCCATTTTCCTTCAGTTTCCTAGAAATATGCAAAAGAACCAACAAGAGTAAATACACACGAGTGGCGTTTGGTAAGCAGGCAAGCAGGCAGGCAGCTGTTTCAACTCGCAACCTGCTCCTTTTGCTGCCGATTATACTGTAAAGCAGATTCAACAGAGTGTTAGTATTACTTTTTTTCTTCTTTTTGGTATAACAGAACCTTCTCCTTTGCTTGCGTGCATGGTGTGCCGGTGCAATATGTCCATTTCGTTAAATCTATGGGCAACGTGTAATGAACCAATCTGGGTTAACGAACTCGGTAGAGTATGGTCTGCAACAAATTAAGTTATATCTGATATTATTAAAAGAGATCTTAAATCATTTTTTTCTCAGTCAAATATAGATTTTAGAATACTTATTTAATAAGAAAGATGGAAAGATGAAATGTGATGGAAAATTCTTTCATCTTTCTTAGTTATATTCTCAGAGAAACCGTGTTTATGTGAACACAAGGTACATGACTATTGGTCATGTTAGGAGAATTAAATCTCTTTTGGGGAATTCTCGATTCCTTACCAAACTACGAGCCACGAATCATAAACCACAAGATCATCACATTACTCAACTTAATTAGGGGAGACATGCATGCCGACGACTAACTACATAGAGATTCGTTTCATAATTGTTTCGGTCGAGCAGGACAACTAGCCAGTTTCTAGAAATTAGACGGGAAAAAAAGATCTTAATTTGCAACAACACCAAAAAAACAAATAAAAAAAACTTTCTTAATCAGAAAGTTATTCCCAATTAAAGTCGTTTGGTTTTTGGGGCCTGGATCAAACATTTATTCGGATCTTCTGCAACAATCTAACTTTCGTTTGCCTAACTCTCTCTTTTTGACAATCTTTCGTCTACCCGAATTTTGAAATTAAAATTCATTGTCACATGGGGTTGGCTTCCAGGCATCTACCAATGCCTCCGGTTTTGACTATTCACAGGAATTCACACAGTAGAAAGCAACTGAAAGACTAAAGCATAATTTTAATGTGTCAAAGACATGTGAATGTCTAGAAATTATAAGCAGTTGAAAGCATGACATAGAACTTGTTCACAGCAAAAAAACGAATCTCGTTGCTTTTGCTTATTAATTAATGCACCCTAGAATAAATTAGCGTAAAGACTCAATAATTAAGTGGGATATGAGGTCTCTAATGGAGTTGGATACTTAAATTCTTTTGAATTCTCCCGGTCTTACTACGACTAAGAACTTTGTGTGGTAATTGTTTTTGTTGCTCCATCTTGTGTGCGTACGTTACATGTATTTAGATATCTGTAGTTTACGAGATGGTATAAGTACATGCTCGGTCTTAGTTTATTTATTAATAGAAACTTATTTATATTAAAAAATGTAGTAAATTATGAAAAGTGAAAAAGAAAAATCCAAGGAAACTTCGGTCATCCTAACTTTCATGGCGCAACCACCGCTTGGAAACATAATCATAAGCTAAAAGAAATGAAGGAGAAAGTACAAAAGTTGTGATTGTCTGCTATCAGACATGGAAGGTCCGGTCCCGGTCCCTTAAGCCAGATTGAAAATAAATCTTTAGCAATGTTTGCCTCAAAAAGCTGTTTTACACATATGACAAAGTGAGATCTTTTAAACAATGATTAAATGAAATGGTTTTGGGTAATCAAAATCATCCTGATACGAAGTTTCATTGCCGACCCAATAAAAAAAAGCATGCAGAGCAAAGGCTGAGTCACTAAGACCTAATGTAGACAAAGCAGAAAGGCTTAATGTCAAAATTATGAGACAAAAACGCTGCTGGTTTTGGTTCAAATTGCACAAACGGTTAGGTCGGAGCTGCTTGTTTCCATAACCTTTACAAGGGGCGGTGTGGTGAAAGGAATGCCATTTTTGGCTGAATTTACGTTGGGTACTTTTGCTTTAGTTCATTGTAGAGTGCCCAATAATGCAGTTGTACTATCACAAATGAAATCAATAAACAGGGGAAAAGAAAGTGAGAAAAGAGAGTGGATGAGAAAGAAAAAGAGAGTTTGAAGCTTACTATATGATTTCGTTTTTACCACATGCTGCATGGGTTGAAAAGAATAGTCTACAAAGGCTTCTTTGACTGTTGCTTTGGAAATTCATGATATTCGGCCTTTTTCTTCTATTTAAAAAGAATAGTCACATGACATGATATTCATGTCAATAATTAAACAGAGAATTTGAAGGCAGCGGCAGAAATATTTGTGAGATCTTGAGTAGACGACTTTTTCATTAGCAGGAAATAGCATGCATTTTATAGTATTGAGAAAAAAAATGAGATTAGACAATGACCATATTCAACAGTCTTTAATAAAACTAGTCTTCATGGGATTCACGCAATCAAACAATTATACAAATTCATCTATTCTATTTTATATGACTTTTGTCATATAATTTACTTTATGTCAAATTAAACACACTACTAGTGTTGAATTTAGTAACTAATAATTTTCCAATGCAAGTCCTCTCGAAATTTCTATTTTGAAGTTTGTGATCACGTGTTCAGGTACTAACAAACACTTGTTAAGAAAATATAATATATAAATTTAATTTTTTTAATAATTTTAACTAGTGTTTATAGATATGTATTTTTCAACATTTCAATTTTTCGTTGTTTAAACATTTTTAGAAAAATAAAAATGTCAATGTTGGGCTAAATTGACACAAAATAAACTACAGAATTTGTTTTCAAATGATTGTAATTAACCAGCTAATGTAGCTGGCAAAGCTGCTTTGGAGGTTAATGCAAAGGGAATGGCTACCTGTTGTGTAGCCAGATTGAGACTTATTGCAAAAGGGATTCATCTAGCTTGTTATTGGAACAAAAATAAATATATGGTATTAATGTAAAATTAAGTTTTAATAAGGATCATTTTAAATAAGGCATTAACACCCAATATCATTACTGCATAAATAATTTCAAATTTTTAATTAAAATATACAAAATTGATTGATGATGACACGTTAATTCCATATAATCTATGAAATTGGTATGCACTTGTATTGAAATCCGTATTTGATCCTCTCAAGTAGAAGTTGAGCTCTCTTACTGTTATGTATCAGAGACCGAATTTGAAAAAAGAAAAAACATGTCGAACAAGGCATTAATTTCTTAGGCTTTCTAATCCTCTAATTATTGTTTAATTAGAATGCCCCTAACAAACTCTCACTTTCCCTTCATGTCATTTTACTTAACTTTATGCCCTATTGTCTAACCTTGAAATATGCATGCCTAATACCCAAACCCCTTTTTAGTTTACTTGACTGCAAAAAGGCTTGTTGAGTTCATACTAGTAGGAAAATCTGGAAAAAGAAATTAAAAAAAAGAAGAAAGAATTCACAAATTGCAAGAAAAGTCACCATTTTGACTCAATTATTAGGAAATCATTGGTAAAGAGGTAGAATAAAGATTTAGAAAATAAGTGTTCTTAATTTCACTAAAGAATTAAGAATAAATTTCAAAAATTAAAATGATAAAAA